TCAACAAATTTCGTATTTTAAAAATTTTGTAAATAACAAGAATAACAAATGTTTACCTCATTTTTGTTCTTTTCCGATCTTTGATCCAACGACGAAAAATTTATCTTTCTTATGAGTCAAATTTCTTTGTAACAATTTCTTTTTGCAAAAAAAAGAAAGAAAATCAAATTTCACTATTAAATTGACATTTTCTCAAAATATGATGACGATTTTTGATATCACATATATTGATAATATGATAATGATTTTTGATATCATATAAGATGATAATAATGATGACGATTTTTGATATCACATATATTGATAATATGATAATGATTTTTGATATCATATAAGATGATAATAATGATGACGATTTTTGATATCACATACATTGATAATATGATAATGATTTTTGATATCATATAAGATGATAATAATGATGATGATTTTTGATACCATGTAAGTTGATAATATAATGTTGATTTTTGATATATCATGTAACTTGATAATATGATACTGAATTTCGACATTGCGTAAGTTGAATTGTTAACATTTCGTAAACTAAATTTAAACAATTTTATTAAATTAATTGGTAAAAATAATTTCCCTTTTAACCTTCATTTAACTTATATCACACATTTTCTAAACAATACATTAACAATTCAATAATGGTAAAAAAATTTTGATGGAATCTTTTTTTTTCTTAATATATATATATTCATAATAAAAAATTCATACCAAATAATAGTGAAATAAAAGATGATGAAGATAATAAAATTGTTGCTAGTTAAATCAATCAATCGATCAATCCATCAATTGATTGACTGATCGATTTCCATCATCGAAAAATATCACATTATTTTAACACTTGTAATATTCAAATTTATTATATTAAAAATAATAATGGAAGGATTCATTCATTTCAAATAAAATTTTAACAATTAACAAAATAAGACGAATCAAAAAAAAGAAAAAAAAATAAAATGAACAAATTTTTGCTATTTTCTTTAAAAAAAGAAGAGAAGATATTTGAAAAATTGTACTAACAACAATTACGATCAAACTAACTTTTTTTTTTTTGTTTCTAATTGATAAACAAAAATTAAATGATTTCTACGGCAGAAATTATCATTAATCTTTGATTCAATTTATCATATAAAATATAAATCATTCAGCAAATAAATATTTTAATGATTAGTTATAAACAAACAATTTACATTGTTACTTTGAAGATATGTTGACATTCTAACATCTCACCTAATATTTATCTCTATTTATTGAATATTGTCGAATTGTATAACATTAGAGGAATTTATTTGTTAGAATTAACAGAGTTTTTTACATTTCCATAACATTACATTTTTTATTTTTGAGAAAATTAAAAAAAAAAAATATTTTGAAAAATTGAATTCGATGAAATCATAACAACTAATCATTTAACAGTACAAATAAAGTGCAATAGAACCAATATTATTTCGAAAATATTTATCAAAATATAGCAGAAAACGAAAGCAACGCTTTTACCAAAATCACATTTGCAAAATGAAGAAAAGCTAAAAAAATTTAAAAGCAATAATTTATCTTCCTTTAAAAAAGCATAATTTTTACAGATAAATGTGTTGAAAAAAACTGAAAAAAAAGTATTTTAAATGATTGCCATTATAAGTTTCATAAAGATTGATTTTTTGATACAAACCGGTGATAATTACCTCTTTATTTTCTGCCGAAGACTTACTTATGATACCTAATATAAAAATAATCTTTCAATTCAATCATATGGAATTGTGTCAGGAAATGAAGTATGTTGAAAAGATTTCAATAAATTCATTTTTCATTTGGTTCATTCTTTTTTTTTTTTTGATAGCTATAAAAAATCTCCAAAAATTTTAATATCAAATGAAGATATGCTTGTTAAATTAATAGCATTTTGAATCCAGGAAACCTTTTGCATTCTTGACGAATCCTTGAAACCGTGAAGAAAAAAAAAAAGCTCACAACAAATAATCGCTCAAATATTAATGATACACCGAACAATACAAATATTGAAAAGAAAATTCTCTGAGCAAAAATAAATGATTGGATTGATGAATGAGAAAAGAATTAAAAAAAAAGGAAGAATAAAACAGGATACTGGATTTCGATGCAAATAGAGGAATCTATTCCAGTACTTTACCACTTTGACTACAATTAGATGCAAACAGTGATAATGCGTAAAAATTTTTCAACAATAACTCTTCCGTTTTAAGTATTCAACCCGTCACTGCTAAAATCTTGAGGTGCAGTATTCTTCATCATAAACGAGAATTTCGAGAATAATTTCATTTGGAAAGAAGAAAAAAACAATCAAAAAAGAATGCAAAATTAAAAATAATTATGAACACTGCAAATAAGTAAATGTTTACTCTAAAAACTACCTCCCAATAACATTTTGCATGATACTTTTGGTTGAAATTAATGTTCCTTTGAAACATATTTCAAATTTTCCTATGTAGAAACTATTCCTTCGCTCTGATATAAAAAACAGTGGCACAATTGCATTGCTCTATGATATGTAACACATGTACGTGTATGTGTAACGTGAAACAGGAATTTAGAATCTCGTTGGTAAATTCAGCAGATGAAAATGAAAAATATCTCAAAGTGAGAGATCAAAACAAAAAAGAAAAAATTATATTACACAGCCAGATTACCCTTCTGCATATGTACCTCAAGCACTTTCCATGCCACCGCTGGATTATACTCCTCCATATCGCGACACATTACCCATACATGATGAACACGCACTGGACTTTTCTAAAAATTTCATTTTAAAGCTCTTTTTTTTTGAAATTTCAAATGATACCAAACTGATTAATTAAAATAAAAAAATACACAACAATTCTACGAAAAATATAAAACGCCTTACAGGAGAATATAAAACTATTTAATGCTAGAAATAACCTGAAACATTATAACTTCTGTTCATATTAAAATTACGCAAATCAGTTAGCTATATTATATAACTATCTATGAAATAATTCAAATATGCAAAAGTTAAGCTTCTCGTGATATTTTAATAACAAATCCTGGTTTGCAATGAACGAAATGCAGATTATTTCCATTTCATCTTCAAAGAACAATAAAAATAAAGAACTCACCGGATCACCTTCGACAACTTTCCCCTCCATATTTCTTACAACATTTACCATATAAGCTTGAAATGTAATTATTATCACTGGCCCGTGTTCCATCATTTTACCAGTAACCATCTAAAACACTTTTTGTAATATATTTTAAAATACAAAATTACAATTTCGATTAAAAAGAATACTTATAAGGATTTCTGCTGAAATATTTCAAATGCCAATAGAAAATCATTCCCGTATTGATTTATGAACATCTGCTGTGAATCATTTTGGAATTTAGCTCAAATTTCCTTCATATTTATAAATTCACAGTAAAAGCACTTTTAAAACGCAAATTTGTTATATATTTTTTCAAATTTGAAATCCGAGAATGCACAATTGTATTTAATATACAATCATAAAGCAGGTAAGAAGGCACCTACTGAAATGAATAAGTAATGAAAGTATGAAGATAATTATAAGGAAATGATGACGAACCTCGACCCTATCGATATCAATGACGCGACTGTCTGCTGTATTAAAGTTGACCTTTTTATACTCATTGACAATTGTTGATAAAATATTATAGGCCTGAAAATTAATGTTTTATAAAACAACCTACTATACCAATTCTATGAAACAGAAAAAGCTGCGGAATTTATGAAATATTCGAAAAGGTAAAAAAAACAAACTCTTTCGTAACACCAATCTTTGAGAATTTTCAAATCACCACGAATAAATGCTTCCAAAACGTTCGGGATTATTTCTTTTTCGCAGAAACGTAACCATTCATTTTTTCAAAATTCGGATCAACTTTTTGGATTTCAGAAAGTACTTCTGATATTTCACTCTGGCCACCTGAAGATGAAGTCCTTTGGAATATTTCGAACAAGAATTGTATTAATTTGAAAATTCTTCAAATATTACATATAGAAGGCTATTTCATATGACACGATCTAACAGTATTCAAATTAAAGAAATGTTTGATCCAAACGAAATCTCCTAACGACACATATTGTCAGAAAACTTTTAAAATCATAGGTTGCAACAGTTTCCACGGCATAGGATCAAACCATAAAAATACACATTCCATCAACATCAGATGCCAGACTAACCAATTCCAGTGAACCCAAACGAACATACCGAGTAGTGAAGAAACTTTGTCAGTAAAGCTCCGCACCATTCTTAACGCCAAATTATCACTTTCATCCAGACGCATTTTCCAGTCCAAAATTTCTGGAATGAAATATTTATAGCTGTAAATCAATCAAAAATTGTAATATTCATTTGACAGACAAATAACCGTAGTACCGCCAAATTCAATTTTAGCAAAAGAAAAAATATATAAAAATATGGCTGGATCTCCGCAAATATTAGATTGAAAACATTCCGTCAGGAATTTAAATTTTAATAGATTAAAATCTATTCAAGTAAACATTAAACATACTGTTATAATAGGCATTATTTTCGGAGAAAGTTTTCCATCCGGCATACCATTTCGATTCCTTATGAAGCTCTACACCAGTTGCACTTCTATAAAAATTTGGTTATATTTGATATATTGGTGAAAAGAAATTTGGTCAATGAAAAAAGACATAAAGATACAAAAGACTTTATCTCGTTCAACGTGGAAAAATCTCATAATATAAAAAAAATCTAAGATGTTGCAACTGTTATTTTCTTCTGTGGAAATTCTGCAATTCGCTACTCCAAAAGACATTTCATTTATATGGAAGAATACGAAGAACTCCAGCAGCAAGATTCGTGAAATGATGCTCCAAATCAAATCAATTCTCACGAGAAACGACAACTGGTATTAATAATCTTTTTAACTGATTAAAATGTACTTACGGATTAGCTTCTACAGTCCGATCAGTATAAGTAGAAAAAGATGCAGAGCGCATTCTTAACTGATCTGAAACATTTTTTGAAAGTTGAAATCGCACCAGTCGATTTTTCATTTTTCTTTGTAGAATTTTCCAGGTTCTCATAAAGACAAAATTAGATTTCATGATATCAATTATTAAACAAAAAGAATATAACCTGGCCGAGTATACATCCGTACATCGACAATACTATCAACTTCGTCCTTGATCACTTTCACTGACTGCAAAGTTTCAAAATTAGCTCAATTTGGTGACAAATATTATAGTAACTACTCATATCTGATTCAAAAAAAATGCGCTTTCCTTGCAGTTAGATGTCAGAAAGTCTTAATTTTGATCTCCAAGAATGCTCACAATCCAACTACCAATCATTTCAAACTCAAATACTAAAAATCTTTCAAAGATTCACACCGTTTGATCCTCACTATTTATAAACTCAGAACAATTTTTCCACTTCTATGAAACTTCCAAGATATATGTCTCGTTGTGTCTACCGAAAAAAAAAGAAAGTACTTAATGTTGTGTCTTTTGGATTAAAATATGTAAGAATATATGATGTACTAAATGTACTTACCGAACTAACGCTCTGATACAATTGGTTGTCGCCAACTTGTTCTGCTGCTTTCTCGATCATTTCTGCAGCAATCTTCGCCTGTTTCAATACTTCGTCTGCAGCCAAGGAAAGCTTTTTCCCTGCTTCTGTTTTCTGCACTTCCATTACCATCTATATACAATAGGAGTCAAATTTTTAGAATACATTTTTCTTGGAAAAACAATTTTATTTTATCTGCATCTTATAAAGAAAAGAATACCCACTAACAATTACTTCTCAAATGCCTTTGTGCTAAGCTTTATATATTTATTTACCTCCTATGAATTAGGAAATTTATTACCAGTACGATTTTTTTCAGTGAAAAGTGGGGAAAACCAAGGAAATCAAACAGTTACCTTTGATATGTGGTCACGGACTTCACTGACCTTGTTTTGGATAACTTGCGAACTTTTCAAAGTTTCTTTTTCGATTAATTCCTAAAATATTTAATAAACTTTATTAGTCATCTATTCACTGAAATGGCAAACAAAAAGAATCATGAATTCGTCATGGATGATGACATATTCCGTAAAATAACTACCAAAACAAAGTATTGCGTGAAAAACAACTCACAAATTTCCTCCTGGCTTCTTTTAGAGCTTCGCTGTCATTTAAACTTTTCAATCTTTCATCCAATTGCCGCTTATTTTCCTGAAAAAGTAAGTTCATGACAAACATGAGAAACTTAATGAAGGCATTGATGATTTAACCAGTAACTGGAAAAAAAAATAGTAGATTGAACTGAAATGTTCAATAATGTCAGCAAATAATTTTTTACAAATGGCCAGTTAATAAGTCAGGCAAATACATCTTATTTATCCTTATTCGATGTAACAAAAATCTCCCTGTTTATGGCAAAAACCGGAAAGCTAGTATTTTTAATTATTATCACTCTACACCATCTATCTAATTACTGATGGTAAACTGACAATGATAATAAGTGGTGATAAAAATGATAATACTATGATGGAAAGCTGAGAATAATGCATTATCTCCGTGAGGTTTTATCAATTTTTAGCCTTTGATCTGCTTTTTTTTTAATCTCAAATTTTGACATATATATCCCAACGAAGTGAAGGAAGACAAAGAGAAGAAAAAGTTCACCTGCAATTCCTTATTTTTTTCAAATTCTTCTCGTATATTATCCAGTAAATTTTTCAAAAAATTTCTAGGCCTTGATTGTTGCTGTCCTTGTTGTGAGAAATATCGTACTGATTGAAGTGACCGCTTAAAAAAAAAAAATGAATAAATAACAGAGTATAATAAGCATTTCCATTCATTTAAAAGCAAATCATCTATCAAAATTTCCTATCTTTATTAGCAAGCTGAAGTGAAAAACACGAAAATGTGAATAGAATAACAAGAAAACTGCTAACTTCGATAAATTTTTGATCAGAAATTTCGTGCTTTTAAAATTTTATGCTTATTAAACAAATAAACTGTATCTAACAATAATTTTACAACGTCATATTTAAAGTGTATCACCTGGAATTCACCTTAAAACATCTTAAAAGAAAAAAAATCTACTTCCTTAAGACGGATTACTTTTGCAGCATAATAAATGCTAAGTTATGTGAAGTTTGTATAGAAAAGAAAATTGAAACGTAAATTTTCAAATAATGGAAAAAAAACAAACCCTTAATGGTACATTAGTAGTTGGTAATGTTAGTGCAGGAATAATGGTATCTGATGTAAAGATAAGCATATTCCTCTGCTGTTGTAAATTCCACAATATCCGATACGATCGCATTATTTGTTTCATTATTTCCTCAAAGAAAAAAAAAAAGAAATTTAAAATTATTAATTTAGGTTCGTCATCAATTTCTTTTTTTTTTGTTATTAGTAAATAACGTGACAAACATTGGTAAAGTTTCGAAAAACTTAACTAAACCAGAATTTAAGCATAATTCCTTTTCTGAAATTCATTTGAAACTATTCAAAATATTTACAATCCAAATATACTTTCCCAAATTTAATTGGCTAAATGTTTGCAAACAATTTCGACATAAAATTAATGATTCCTATCATTTTAAAAATTTGCAATCTCTTCCGGAAACCTAAAAATTCCTTCCGGATTGGGAAAGAATGAAGCTCCTATTATTTTAAAAATTTGCAATCTCTTCCGGAAACCTAAAAATTCCTTCCGGATTGGGAAAG